GGAACAAGATCGACTCTCCCCGAATAACGAGAATGAAACGATAATACTCGATGAAAAATGGCCGACAATAAGCCTGTAACGATGGATGGAAAATAATGCGTAATGGGAAAGATGAATAATGAATACACTGCGAAATTATTTTCCTCGAAACACATGTTTGTGATGTACAAACATGTATATATATACTCGTGGAAATATCTTTCGATCGATTCTGAAGGCCAAAACAAATACAAAAGTTGGTAATACGAAAATGTCGATCGTAAATTATCGCAAGTTACAAGCGACTGAAGTTTGCGTTGGGCGGGACGAGAGATAGAGATAGAGTAAGATTGCTATCTCTCTTACACTCTGTGCCTAGTTTCACTTGGACGAAAATTCAAACAACTTGGTGAGTAATACTTAACCGAGATTATTGTGTATCAATTTTTATACTTGTTTTGGTTTCTAGAAATCATCCATTTATTAATATATAGAGAAAAGATATATATGAATCTATATATTTGTGAATATTATATAAATATATAAATCAGTATACATATATGTGATTTCTATTAGGAAAATTCGAAGTTGATTATTCTGTTTGTTTGCTCGTCGAACGTGAATAAAATATATATGTAAATTTCATCATCAGATCATCAGAAAGATAAGTAAAGAAGATAAGAAGAAGAGATGTAAATTAATTTCCTGTGAAGATCATCTTACTAAAATAATAAAAATATTCTATGATAATATTTTTATATGCTATTTTAGTTTATAATTCTGAATTCAATTTCAAATTCCTTGTAGATAATTGTATGTTGTAGCAAAATCATAAAATCATTTTCATACTGCATTATAATAAAATCGAAAGATAGAACCTAACCTAACCTAATTTAGAGAATTCTCATAATATGTTTTTAAATTGTAATGTATGCAACTTGAACGAGATTAAATAACTAATAAATGCGAAAAAATGGATTTTTATCAATTTGTAACTGTAAAAAAAAAAAGCATCACTTGAAATGAATTTTCGAAAGTAGAAAGTGTTCGAAGTGGTTGGTCATACTTTCCAATATAAACTTCGAACATATTTTCTCGTATTTTCAATTTCTGCCTGATAAACACGTTAAATACGAAAAATTACAATTTTTCCACATAATAAAGAATATGTTAGATATGTGTGTTGTTAGATATAAATTGCACATTGAACAGTTAGCTGTCAGTTTTATGCGTTGTCTAACATTGAATCGCTTATTTATTCACTTTGATAAATTATTTATCCGATTTCGCGATTATGGAGAATCCTGAAACGCGTTTGATGTAGCATTTTCAAGCTTATACGAGCCATTAAACGTTTAAACGATGCATAAAATTACGTAAATGCTTAATCTTCCCTTTCAACAAATATATATTCGAAACGAATATCGCAAATATCGAGCCTTTCTCCGAATAAAAATTTTATCCATCATTTTCTCCTGTTTTCATTAATTTTTTCATTTTTTTTTCGATAACATATTTATCGAACATATGATTCTGAATAATTTTTCAGTCCTCGAGTTATATATTGCAAAAATACATTACACACGATATTTTTTTTAATATTTGATACGCGTGAAATTAAGATTAGGTTAAGCTTTAGATTATTAAGCAAAAATATATTTTCAACGTTTATGAAATTGCATTTGATGCGAAATTAGGATTAAGTTAGGTTAGGTTTTATAATATTAGTCGAAATCTAACATACACACACATGCACGAAGTTTTCATTCGAAGAATCCACATTTATAGGTACTTTTATTTATAGGCACTATAAACAAAAAGTAAGGTTAGGTTTGAATTAGTTCATTATTCCGTCGTCACGAGGCGCGTGCAATCGCAAATGCTAATGCGTTGCCACGATTGTGCATAGAATTTTGCATCGATATCGAATATGCCGAATTATTATATATAAAAAAAAAAAAAAGTTAAGTTCAGAATATTAAGAACATATTTCAAGGTCATCAAAAAAAGAAATAAACATTTCTTTCGCGAATAATTATCATCCCGGGATACGTAATTTTTAACATTTACATTTACGTACACGCGATGTACAATTTAAAATAACATCGTGACAAGATTATTATATATCAGATTACATCATCGTTAAAACCGTATAATAAAGTAATTTTAAAACTCGCTTATGCACTTGGACGACCGATAATACAGGATGATAAAATCTTATAAGCAACCAAGTTTCAAATTCCGCAACTACACTTATTATATAGTGGATTAGTTATACAATCGGGTCAAGGTGGTTCTCGCGTTTCTTTCAATGGTGAACTGAACTCGACGAAGGTTGAACTTGGAGAACAAAATGTTACGTAAAGTCATTCACTGAGCCAAAAATAGAAGCAGGCTACCACCGTTGAAGTACACAGCGTCAGAAATAACCGTTAAATGCTAAGAGGATGTCCGGGAATAAATTTCAATGAATATTAAATTCAAGGAAGATCGTCCTTGACCATGATCATATTTACGACATTGTTATTTATCGTTGCGTTGCCCAATTTTGTTAGAGTGAGAAAGAGAAGGAGCGAGCGAACGAGCGAGCGCGAGAGAGAGAGAGAGAGACGCGCGCGCATGCGCATAAGAAGGCTACACACGAAATATAAAAGAGGAAGATTGCGTGTTTACAGTTACCATATTATTACAATGTAAAAATAAAGTCAACGATATTATATTGGGTTGTTTGTAAGGTAAAGTTTTTGGCACGTATCGAATATCACGCATTCAATCCGGAGAGAGAGCTTATTTATTATTAAACTTCTGCCGAATAATAGAATTCTGGTTTCAAGTAAATTTCATTCGAGAAAGAACAGAATTCAAACTTAAATTTTTATTGATCTTGATGATCGAAAATCGAGAAGATTTATAAAAAAAAAAAAATCAAAAAACTCCATCTAATTTAAATCTACCTAATTCACATTTTAAAAATATAACATGTAATTTAAAAATATTTTAATCCAAGTTAAATCTCGATAAAATTCTTCGATGCAAATATTTACCAAACGTATTTCAATCGTCTCAATGAGAGAGAGAAAAAAAAATACAAATTGACAGCCCGAACACACATTTCTCATTATTATTCTGTTACCTTGCCTGAGAATGCTTTCGTAAATTCTGTAAGTTGTCTCGCAATCGGCATCCCTTAGACTGGGATACCTCACACCCCCGTCCAAACTCTGGCTCCTGTTCCTGAAGTCCTCCTCCTTCTTCCTAGGCGGATCCTGGCACTCGCTCTGCCGCCTAATGTGGCCCAACCTCCTTCCAAAATGGCGTATCATCTCTTGAATGCTGTAGTGATGGTGATCCTTCTGATGATGGTGCTTCTCGTGATCCCCGCTCGGGCTTGGCAACGTGGGCGACGCTCTTCCACTGCTCGTCAAATGGTGTTGTTGTTGTTGTTGTTGTTGTTGTTGTTGTTGTTGCGGGTGCAGCTGGTGATGGGCATGATAAAGGGGATGATGATGATGATGATGATGGTGATGATGAAGCTGATGATGATGATGGCTGCTGCCGTGGATCGTGTGGTACACAGAGTGGTGAGCACCGTGATGATGTGACGAGGAGCTGTGATTGGAAGAATTCGAGCCGTGAGACGAGCCGTAGGACGTCGAGGAACCGTAAGAATAGGTCGAGCTCACTGAACCTCTCGATATTCGTTTCTGGATATTTTTGTGGTTCAACAACTCCTGGAGGATCTTCGTGTCGTGGTGTCTGCTCATCGTGTCCGACGCGGAGGAACTTTTGTTGTTGTCCTGGTGAGGATGATGGTGGATCATCCTTGTGTCACCGTTATGAGAGTTGTGGTGAGAGAGTAGGTGACTTATCCCGTGCATCTTTTATTTTTTCCTTTTTATTCTCGATTCGATCGAAGTGGAGATTTCAAATTTTGGACGAAGAGCAATCTTTTCTCGAAAGTTTCGATCGGTCGTTGTTGATCGTTAATGTATCGAGGGAGATGATAATGCGCGTTTCGGTAACACTGCGACAGATAATTAAATATTACGTTTATATGGAATAAAAGAGGACGGATGATTTGAGAGAGACACGTGGACATTATCGATATTTTGTTGTTTTTTTTTTTTTTTGAAAAGAAAAAGAAAAAATTATTAAGGGAATGAAATGGAAGAGATAAAATGGAATTAATATTGCTTCACTTCGAAAGTTAAATTCATTGGCTAAATTTATCAAAGGTTCGAACTCTTAATAAAAATTGCATGCAAAAATGTAAATTACAAATTTGCATGAAACAATCGATGAAAATTTTATGAATTAATAGATTTCTATCTTCGAAGAGATGGTTCGAAATTTAGATTGGCGCGTACGAGTGAATCAATTTCTGGCAACGTGGGAAGCGATGCGTCGTTTTCTATAAACAACCAACTTCGTGAAACAGCCACGTGATACGGCGACATTGCGCGAAACTTTGGCATAATTGCAGAATTACGGATGTGTTTAAACGATACTTGGATTTTTAAGCGTTTAGCTTAAGTTCGTTTCGCTACTTTTCCCCTGTATATTATTTGCATTATTTATAACTTTCTAAAGTTATAAAAGAAGAGAGAATGGAAAATTAAATTTCAAATTTCTTCCAATCAAAATAGGAAAGCAACTGGATATACAACGATAAATTATCCGATTTAATTCTTCCGTCCTAGAAGCAAGACCATTTACTTCAATTAAAATCGATCGTTAAGTGTCTAACGAGAGGCTCATTGAACCTTGTTACCAGCTAAACTTTATCGTTGATTGTTCAAGATTTAAAGTTGGAAACAGATCCAATCTAAACAAGGAATAAATAAGTGAACTAAATATACATTAAAGAATTTTTTGCGTATTAATAATTTTATGAAAAAAAAAAAAGAATTATTCAATTCGATTATTTATAATCTACGATAAATTAACAAAAAAAGTTGGATAATTGCAGAACGATCTATGACGCGGTCAGCCTAACCTAATCTAAATATACGCAATGAAATATCTTCGTTTCGACTTTCGTCCTTTTTTCTCTTTCTATACTTTCCTATGAAATACAAGAAGAACTTTAACAATATTGGAAATACGAATCGATTCCAATACTACTTCGTAACTATCTGGATTAAGTTCTAATTTTCGAAGAAATATACTTTACTATATCGTATCTTTGAGATAGCCAAAAAATCTTTTTGGAAAGTGCAAAAATCAACGTAAACGATACGCTTTCAAGATGCGACAGTTTGTACCAGTATTTCACGGTCCCATGAATACGGATAAATGGTTTAACGGTCATCGTAGTTCTCGCTACCGAATGCGAAGACTGCGCATGCGCATTTCTTTATGTACATATTATATACGTGCACGCGTGAAACTAGTATAAGAACACATTAGGAAAGTAAGAGTGTTTTTGTTCTGTCTAATAGAATTTTAAAATTATGACGGTTCATTCAATATATCATTCTCGTCTTTTCTTTAATTATTTTTTTTTTTTTTTGTACTTTGTTTTCGATCTTCAATAAAGTTATCCCTGATCTATTTATTTCTCAAACAAAATTGGCTTTCACGATATCAAATCATTTATAATATTTTGTTAGAAAATATCTTTTCAGTTTCAAGATGTTTAAGCGGTATACATACATAAATGTATTACCTTCGAGCGAGAGAAGTTAAATTAGAATTCAGAAGGAAGCATTTAGCACACGCGATTGATTGCGAGATTAGAGGAAGTAATCAGAGTAACTGATTACTATATGTTGTTTCTACTGAGAATGATCCGATTTTCCTATTACTTAAAAACAATTCATCGATAATTGCTTCAACGATATTGTAATTAATTTCGTTTCAACTTAATTTAAAATATTATCGTTTCTAATTTAAGCCATGTAAAATTAAAAAAAAAATTTCCATTTTCACTTCTATTATATTATAAAAAATTTCTCTACGTCAAATCTTTATCTTATGAAAAGAGATATATATTCTCTTAAAAAACGCACTATAAGCGAGCCTTCAATTTTATTTTAAAAAACAGTTTACGATAAAAATCGATTTAATTTCGAATCGTTCAATCGTTCATGCTCTTCCAGTTTCACCGCTATCAGGAAGTTGAAATCATGCTACTAGCCTTCCGGCTATACACTTGAAAATGTCCCGATTTTGACAACGAGGTCGTCGATGTGGCAAATTTCGGGGTCGTGGCAGAGAAACTGGGTCATATCGATTGACTGTCTCCCTATTCTAAAGGAGTGCGCGCTCAAAGGAATTATTATAGTTCTCTTCTTTCACTCCTTTATCTAACAAGAGGAAGGAAAATTGGCGGTTGGAACTAAGACAAGAAACTTGGGCAACAATAATATCAACTCGTATCATTATTTCACTTCCTGTCCTTTTTTTCATTTTTCATCTAATCATATTTCGAAACTTAATCTTTCGAAAAAAAAAAAAAAAATTAAAATAATTTTTCTATAACATATATAAACTTCAATACTTATTTAATCTAATTTTAATTTTTTCGTTTATATTTAATAATTTGATATTATTTTTGAATTTTTGCCTCTTTTTAACAATAAATGAAATTAACAAAAAAAATTAACAATAAAATGAAGAGAGAAGAGATATTATTTAAAATATAAATTCAATTTATCTAATTTTTCGGAAAAATGGAAATGGCAGAATATGTATAAAAGTTTGATAAAACTTTTTTATGTAATATTTTAAAATAATAGATGACGTCTGCAGAATCATTGTTTTCCCAATCACGCATAGCACTTTTAACGGAAATCATTGTTTTGCATATCATTGATAGAAGTGATGCATTGAAAAAAATTACACACGATTGAAACGATGATGACACATAAATAACGATACTTATCAATTTTCAATGATATTGCTATCTCATTTTAAATCTATTTTTAATCGATTTACACGTTTTAATGGGAAGAAAGATTATATTGTTAAAATAAATTTTACTAAAAAAAATTATCAGGAAAGTAATAATGATAAATTTAAATCTATATATAAAATTTAAAAAAAAAAAATAATTAAATTTTAACATTAGATTTTAATATTAAATATTATTATGTACCCAAAATGTATCGTAAATACGTTTTTGCATTTTATTTAATAATGTCAATTAAAAAAAAGTTATATAAAAAAATATTAATATTGATAACGATTTAGATAATGAATAATCTACGCTTTTAATGCAAAAATAGAATATTTGTAAACACATATGTTCATCTGTCCTCTATATTTCTATATTTTCAATTATTTTACGTATATTCTTTTCGAACATTCTCTTCTCGAAATCAACTTTGATTTCAATGCAATTTCGATAGAATTTACGCGTCAAAGACAATAACTTTTTTCGCTGCAATTACTTCTAAAATTATCTGAGAGAAATTCATTGGAAAACTTTAAAAAGTTTTAGAAAAATAAACATAGGATTATCAACGATATAATTGAAAAATAAAATTGAAAAACAAAATAATATCTTATATTCTCAGACATTGTTTATTTTGCTCGACGACGATTTTATCGAAACTAATTACTTCTTACATTATTTTTTCACTACTATCAATCCACAGTTTTATCACGCGTGTAAGAAATCAAGCAAAACAAATTTCTCGTATAAATGTTTATCCGAACAAGAATAAGAAAAAAATGTACAACAATTATTCTCTTGTCCAATTATTTTCACCGGTGATTGGTTCAACGGTGAGAAAAGGGATCTTTAAGACGACAACAAACAATTCATAATATCTTAAAAACAAGAGAGAAATTTCTCCTAGTAAAGGTCAAACTCAAAGTCATTGTCATTAACATGAAAAATTATATCAAAGGGGATCTATAAATATGTTTTAGATTATCAACTCATATATTTCATCGGTTTTATTGCGGAGGTTCACCGAATCGACCTTTAAAATGTCAAACACAATGTGATTATGCTGTGAAACGTTACCGACAGAGTAATACACTTTCTCTCTAAATACGTTAATTACGATTCGACATTGAACGTTGAAATCTATCTTACACTCGCGTCCACTCTACGGAAACATCGTATATACCGATCGAAATTAAGTTACCGCTTTTAACGATAGCTATCATCGTCCACGATATTGGGTGCGTGTGTTCGATAGAAGTGAATGCAGAAAATGTTTATATTTACAGAGTGTGTTACTTAACATGCTCACTGTCTATTGGATTTCCGTTATTTGTGATATGGTGTGATATTATCGCTGAGAGTTTCTGATTCAATAATTAAATCTTAATTAAAATGATGCTCTCTTCAAAATTTAATCGCTTCTAGATAATACAGATAATGCAGAATATAGTGTTTTTTATACGTACGAATGTATACTTTATATACTGTAATTAAATTTGACTTTTGAAATGTTTTTGAGAAAAAGACTTAAGACTTTTATCTTATAGAGATATAATAAAAATTTAATTATTTCACGATTTTTTTCTAATTTTCAAATATTAATTAAGCTGTTTAATCCAGTCCAAGTATTGTATAGATAAGCATGCAAAATAGAACAAAATAGAATATTTTTAATACCCATTATACACTAATCTCTTTGCAAGAGCAGTTCACGGCACGTCGCAATATCATCCAAAACAATCGTTTTTCTTTCTTTCTTAACCTGCACTACCGACGCGACAGCATTTCTATTTTAGAGAGCTCGAACATTTTTCGACTCGCGTAGTAGTATGTCTTGACAACTTGTAATTCATATGTCATCGTATCTTCGACTGTTTATTAACACTTTATCTTCGGAGCGCTTTTCTTATTAACAATAGCCTATTATTAAATGTGATATCGTCTAGTATGTTTACGCGTCACTTTGCACGAGCCAAAATGTATTTCAATATTTAAATTTCATTCATTGTGAAATGTAAATGTGCACAACAATGTGACCATGATGATGAAAGAAACAGAAATTTATTTTTTCGAATTTGGCGAATAATTTATATAAAGTGTTAATATATTCGTGATACGTTCTTCTTTGAAGAATTTATTTTAGAAAACTAAAACGAATATAAAACTTGATACGTCGGTTGAGACTTGTTTATTAATTTACCGAGCATAATATAAATTTGCGCGTAGAAATAAAAGAGTAAGAAAACATGGCGTTGCGACAGTGCGACAGAGATGGAACTCTTATCTTCATTTCTCTTCATCTAACGTAAATTTCAATTGCTCATAACGTAAAAAAGTAAAACTAAAACGATATTTTCTTACTATTTTGTATATACCAATTTTTATTTTTATTTTGGCCTGGAATTGATCTTATCTCACGTATTGAACTGAAATTTGTATTTACTTTTATTTAATTTATTTTATTACAAAACTACTTACAATAGCATAAATTATGAATAGAGATATTAATGTTTTTTTTCGAAGATGCACAACTTTTTTCTACATACAATGATCATCCAATAAATGTTATTATTGCAATTTTTAATAAATCATATAACAAACTAGTTCAACATATTGAGGTAATATTAATAATATTTTTAATAGTCAGATATTAACGTTATTACATTTTATTTATGAATTATTTTTGCTTTAGAATTTAAAAATTGTAAAAAGTAAAATTTTACTTAAATTAAAATAACAAACACAAAAAAAAAAATTTTAATATCGCGTAAATCAAATTGAAAAATGTCTATATTTACAACATTTACAATAATATGAATATGATTATTTAGAATCGATCCAATTAACAACAAGGCTTTGCAAACAATAATATGCAAATTTGTATAACATTTATACGAAACAAACATGTTTACAATCGGTCGAATGAACTTTGTTTCAGTTTTTTAAATTAAATTTTATCATTTTCATTTTTTAAGTTATGTAATAAATAATATTACATAACGCAATGAAACATATGTTTCTAACTAATTTAATATTCATTGTGTACTTGAAATATACGTGTAGATATATATATATGCCGTTTGTTTTAATAAAACAAAAGTTTTAAAGTTTTACGCATTAACATTCGATGTAATAAAAAAAGATAATAAATAATTTATGCAAAACTATTTTGTTGCATATGTAAATTAATAAACTGCAGATGGAATATTTAAACAAAAATGTATAATGTAACAAAATGCATATAATAAAATGCAAAGATTACACAAAATAAAATATTATGTTTAAAGATATATATATATATATAAATATAAAACAGATTTTTCTTCAAGTTTCTATTTTTCTAGTTTGAAAAAAATTTACCATCAAATTGCATTTTAATTTGACATAATGCAAAAATATTAATATTAATAATATTAAAAAGAAAAAAAATACCTTGATTTAAATATTACCAAATATCATTATTGATGTTAAATTTAACTTTTTTAAAGTAAAAATACATGTCAAGGTATTCTTTTCCATTACTTGGTTAAACAATGTTTTCCTTCATTTGCAAGTTAACAAGCTGACTGATTCGCAAAATAACAACACAATGTTTGTATTTCTACGTGTAAATGAAAATGTATCGCTAGCGAGCAAGTCGTCTTCAAGAAACAAAAATATACGAATACTCCAGTGGATACGAGTAAAGCTTCGTTTCTATTCGACTGAAATACTATACTATAGAGCGATGGGCTCAAAATAAATTTCTTCTTCTTTTAATATTTAAATACACCATATTAAAAAAAAATATTCATTTGTTAACGATTACACCTCGACAAAAATATTTTAATGAATATTTACTAAGAATTCCCAACACTTATACTTATTTTCATGGGAACCAAGACTGAAAATCCGTTGCACATGTATGTAGTTACAGTTAGAACACGATAAGATACTTTGTAACACTCGAGTTACATGATACATCTAGTTATCATGAATATGCAACGAATTGTTCTATCACTGAAACCTCGCACCTCGTCAACTGGCAATAATTTTACGATTGTGCTGCATTTTTATTCATCGAAATTGCAAAATTCTGTATAATTCGTTATTATTACATTATAACAAAACACCTATATATAGAACTATATAACAGATTATATAGAAAATATGATGAAATTCGTCATTATCAATTTAGTATTGATAAAAAAAAATCCGTAGAAGAAATCTGATTGGTCAGAATGGAAGAGGAATGTTTACTCTCACACGCATTTTTATTTCCAGCTTGTTATTTGTCAACACGTACTGACCTGACTGAGAATAGAAAACGACAATAAAATCTAGTGAAACGATAAGATGAAAAAATCTCTCTAATGACTTTGTGATTGAAAATAATTAATTATCTTATAATGGAATTCTTTTTATCCACTGGAATATTCAAGCGAAAGCTATAGTGTGTGATATTAGGAGGCTCCAACGCATGGTCTCGAACAGCATCAAGAGTGGGGATAAATGTTCCTTTCTTCGTTCCGCAAAGTATCTCTTTTGTGCCGTTCTTTTCACCAGTGAACAGTACACATGTGTGCTAATAACCTATTCTTTTGCTCTCTGAATTTTAAAGATTTTTGCTTCAGAACACGATTAATAACACGCAGAATAATACATTTTCGAGAAGATTGAGAAGAAAGAGAAAAAGGGGAATGAAAATGATTCGAATATATTGCTATATTAAGAATTACGGATTGTTGATATCTGGAAGTTGTAACTCTGGTATTACATAACACTGTTAACTAATGCGAGTAACGCTAAGACATCGGGAGAAAATCGATTAAAACGATCGAATTGTATTTGAAACGTTGAATCTTTTTTTTTTTTTTCTAAATCTTGATGAAACAAGATTATATCTATTTTTATATATTTTTTTTAATTCAATATCACATATACGATTTCAATATTGATAAGTTGAAATGTATTCTTATAATGATAATATTATCACGATTTTAAAAATATTCGTTTATTTTATTGAATACATGCCACATGTATGTATACATATAGTACACACATATTGATTATAGCGCATTATTAACTGCAGTGAAGTGATGCAGCACACAATGACTACGTCGAAGGGCCAATTCTTTTTCAGACTTGGAAATTCGATATCATAGCAGGATATATAACGAAGTATTACGTCACGAAGACTTTGAGATGTGGATTACAAGCAAGATTCCTTGCAACGAATTGTAATTCGATTTAAAAGAATAGTATATATAATAGTATATATATATATATATATATATAATATGATGTTATTTCGAAATATACGAGGATCTAGCTAATAAGATAGAGCATTAATGGGATTTTCGAAGCTTCCACTGATATTGCACAACTCGTGTCAAGTATTATATCAAAATTTGACACGAAAATAATAGTTTTTTAGTATTCACTGTACTTTATAAATTTCTGTAAATTCGTTAAATATAATACTTGTTATCCAATCCTTTGTAGATACGTATTTCTTGTTTCGTTTAAAATGTGCTGTCGAAAATAATTAAATCGTTAAATTATTGATGATGTTTCATTTCGTGTGGCCTCGTTAAACGATGTAATTATTAATAGTTTATACATTCCAATGAGCAATATCGTAAACAAAATGACAGGTAATAAATATGATATTTATGTGCGAAACCAATGAAAGGTTCGTAATAAATCATGTAAAAAACAAATATATGTAATCACGCTTCATATAATAAATATATTAATAAATATATATATTTTTATTTCACATTCCATTCAAACCATGAAATTTTAAAAAGATATTTTTGTTCTCATTGTTATGAATGTAATACTGATGAACACAAAAATTCTAATAATATAATATTAATAATAAGAAAAAAAAAAAGGAAAAAAAGAAATCATCTATTTTGCATCTACTGAATAAATGTTTAAAGACTGTAAATGATAATGTACATGTGAAAATAAATCTTTCACGCTCTTTCATAAAATATTTACTTTACCATCGATACGTAATAGCATAAAAAAGCATTTTCTTCGCGAGTAAGCAACTATAAGCTATGAATTATTTGAGAGTGTAGAGAGGTTAAGTTAGAAACTTATATAAATGCTGCCCTCTCAACGTAGACGCGTGAAACAATGAAAATCGATATATAATATGATTTTAATATCACGAAAGGAATGTGTATCCATAGACAAGTGTTTTAACATTACATCTTTTCCCAAAACACGTTTCCGGTTTCGAACATCGATTCTATCGACATGTGGATCTTGGAACCGGTTCTTCAAGGTCGATGAAGACCCGTCAGTACTACTACTGCATTTCCAGTTGTGGTGAAGCGTTTACCATACTACTTAAGAAGCGTGTATTACTTCGACGATCGACCTACATATCTAAAAGTATGTAAATTATGTTTCACGAATAATCGAAAGTATTACTTGAAAACCGGTTATTACATCATAAGTTTTTCTCTCGGGTAGAAGATTTGGCTTCCCTTTGAAAAAATTTTTTTTAAATTATATTTAAAGTTAAATCTATCGTCGTTATTATTAACACGTTAATTTAATTTTAATTAATTTTTTATATCAACTCATTTCCAATTCATACGTGAAATATATCAGTATGCTTAATATTGTTATTTAATATATATATATATATATATATTTAATTTCTAAAAAATGGAAGCAACACAATAACAATAAATATTTTCCATTTTTAACTTAACGATATAATGGAAGAAAATTGAAAAATCTAGAGATTCGATTAAAATCATAAACAAGGGAAAGTATGAAAATTAAGAAAATAATCATATCTTCGGCTATGCACAAATTTAATTACAAGCATCCTTTTATCCTCGACTACATCATAATAAGAACGGGAGCAGAAGATTAAGGAAAAGAAAGCATCCATGAGAAAAGGGTCCGTCCTGTTTACGACGAGGGGAATCTTGTGTACCGTGTGACCTTGTCCTATCCTTGAAACACTACTATGTTCTGAGGAGTTGACAGAATAGAGGAACTCGTCTCCTATTGGTTACTTACACATTGCGCACGCCACACACCGATGAACCAGTGTCGCCACTCGTCCGTAAGTGTTATCTACTGGTGGTAGTGCGAACGTGTGTTCCTACTCTTCTCTTGTATCTGGTCTTTGTTCAAAAAATGCTAACTAGTAAAATTTCACATCTAGCGAAATATAGTTCAAGATGATTGTTCCTTGGAAATTATAAATTACAAGAGTTTGTGTGTCCAATCGTTAAGAATCGCTTTTACACGAAATACTTCGTTTCTATATACGTATGTAAAAGTAAAATTAACTTTTCGATTTTCGAAGAGAGAGAAAAAAAAAAAAAAACGTCCTTTGCGAGCGTGGAAATTAAATTGAAAAAGTTTATTGTGTAGCTTTTGTATAGAATAGATAATGTAATTAAATTTCGTTTTCTTATTTATAAAGATTATGATTAAGAAAGAAGAGTATTAAAAAATTTGCAAAAAAAAAAAAATAAGAAAATTGATCTGAAGATGTAGAAAAATTAAAATTTTCTAAATTTTACTTTTGGATTATAAAATTAAATAATTGAAACATTGGTGTTATAATTTCAAAATTTTTCGATTATTATTTATTAACCAAATAAGTATTATTTATATACTTTTATGTATATTATTTTTAATTTATAAATTTATAATTGTAATTAAAAAAAAAAAAATTAACAGCGACATATGTATATTTTTTAAAATTCATATAGCAGAATATTGACTTTGTCCAAAGAATGTCCAATTTACGAAATTATCACAAACTTCAAAAGATATTTTATACAATAACGATATTTAAATCGAATATAGAAACTTTTCAATTACGTAAAATAGTTTCGTACAATAATTTATAATTACGAGTTTAAAATTTAATTTCAACCAATTTGATCTACCAATGACCTACATATCTTATATATCTTGCATAAAAAGAAAAAAAAAAAGAGAGAAAAAGAATGAACCGTAACGAGCATTAGCTACGACTAATTTCCTAACAGCGAATAAAGTTTGCTGGATTATCACATACGAGATCCGTAGTAGAATTAATGTCAACTAGGTCAGTAATCTAACTCTATAAAAATCTTTAACTCTGAAAATTAACTATTGCCAAATGATGATATAAATAATTTGCCATGTTTTCTGCTAAATTCTTTTTATTTTTATTCCTATTTCAAGTATTTGAACTTGATTAAAAACTTTCAAGTTAAATATTCGTTTATTCGAAATAAAAAATTGAATTAAAATTAAAGCATTTAAATATCTTTGCAAATCTTTCTTCAAATACCAAGAACATAAATATATAATCTAATGAACGTAAAGAATAATGTTTATCATTTTTGTGATTTTTAAACAGAATTACGTACTTTTTGCTCTTTGCATGCTGCAGAGAACATCGAGATAAGCTTTTCACTTTCATTGATACACATGAATTTGGAACGTACATACACAAAAGAATTCTATTTTAAAATTCCTACGTACGGTAAGTATACGATAAACGTGAATTACGTGAGCGATAGTGTCTCTAGATACACAAATTAATCGATTTATATTTTTAATGTCGATATAACCTTGATTGAGCGAAATAAATAATATGTAAAAGAATGTTTTATATCGCTTTGAATTAAATTTATTACTTGAAAAAAACGATAATCCTTAAACTCGTTATTTTCTTCTTTACTGCTTATTAATTCAAGTATAACCACACACGGAGTGACTAAAGGAGAACACGAGAAAACAGAAAATAATGTATCTGAAATGTATGGTGCATATTTGCGTGAACATATACCATACATATTGGCCAAGAATATTGGTACATGAACACGATGACTCAATTTTCGTCTGCATTGCCGCAGAAAAAAGCAAAATCCAATCACGAAAGTATAAACGAACTGATCTCAATATTTTAATACGTAATAAAAAAAAAAAAAAAAAACTTTAGAATTTGCATGCATTTTGAATGACTATTTCATTATTATTTTCTCTTTTTGAATTTTGATATAATTTTTAAATTTGAATTGTGGTGTATAATTATGAATTATGATAAGAATTGAAGATAATTGATGATATAACATTAAGATGTTTCGAACCTTTAAGTAATGTCAAATGTTCATATACATGTATATACTTCATTGAATAAACGTCCACGTTTCTCGATTCGTACGGAAATGAAATTTCAATGAGATGAAAAAATTTATTAATAGACACTTACCAACTGTTGCAGAGTATATCACTTAGAATATGTTGAACGATTCTTCAATTTTTGTTTTTCACTTCGAAATTTCACAATGCACTTCACAACTTATGAGCTTAATAAATTCAATTTTTTTAACTATCAGAACTATAGACAGAAAACAAAATCTTTTTTACATCAACAAAAATAAACACATAATCACTTGCACACAATAAATTTAAATTTGTAATGACTTTACCGGTTGTCACTTCACGAAAAAACGGCAAATCAAACGTTTCTTAATTCGACGCATAAATGAATATTATCGGGAACATTGATTGGAAGCACCATTAAACAGATTTTGCGCAACGAACAAATTATCATCGATTAAGTCGATCATCAACAAATAAAAACTACCGAAGTTCGATTGACGAATAAGGAAAGACCGGTTCTAATACACATTTGTCGCAAGATAATAAGCAACGCGTAATAGTGTTTACGTTTACAATCTTAGATCGTGCCGTTATTGATACGTTCTTGTTATAATCCGTTTGAACAGCCATTCGCTTGTTAATGTTATCAACAAAAATTCGCAAAAACCAAGGGATATAATATCGAAAGTTTTATGTTACAACCGTTAAACTAGACCCGTGCGAACTCTCCTTCGATGTTACGTTACATTTCGCACGTACGACTTTTCTGCGACGATTCGCGCGCGCAACAAAACAGTTTTAATCGAACGTGATTCTAGGTTAAGAACGGGCCATGACTCGTGCACAATCTCGATAATAACTCGTGCTTTCAAGGAATCGCGGGCATTGATCATTAAGCTGGTAAGTGAATACGAAGTGAACAACTTTCAAGCACGTGCTACCGTACGCGTTGCGGTACAAAAACCTTCTGAGGCGCAAGTCCCGCCAGCATTGGCTACCTACGTACTTCAGAATATACGCGCCATATTAAATACACGACCTAAAGTCGACATCTAGTGTGGATACCGTGAATTATTACGAAATATTTCATCTCCTGAGATAAACAAGTTCTCCAATTTTATAAAGTGTATTATTTTATAAAACATCTTATTTTACAATAAAATATATTGAATTATTTATTGAAATTATTTATCTAAATATTGAAGAAATTGCAGATGCATTAGGTAATATTATTTTATAGTCATGATATAATATAAGAAAAAAATATGCGTTTACAATTTAATAATTTAATGCATTTAATATTCTAACAAAAAAGACTACTTTTTTTTTATTATTAGTAGTTTTATGTTATATCTATCTGAATATTGATTGTATGTGACATGTATCGCGATGAATAATAAATAAAGAAAATAAAAAATAATAAACTATATATATATATATATATATATATGTTATTTTTCAACTATCAAATATTTTTCAATTACCTTGAACATATAATATTTATTACTTTGTATAAAGTTAGCAATAATCAGACACTCGATTTTAAATCTATTTAAATATAAAATATATATATATATATATTTGCACTTACCTTGTGAAGTTGATTGAGACTGATGTTGGGCCGCAGTCCTCTGAAACAGAAATACGTGTTTATTTTAATTAGATCCTGAAATAGCATAAAAGTTAAAAATACATCTATATGGATATATGTATTCATTGCAATGATGATTGTTTGTTAAAACCATTGTCGCCAAAAAGTCGGAAAAATTATATCATGTAAAAAAAAAAATAAATTGCAAGTACATTTTGAATAATCAGTCGTATCCCTGATGCCTCGAGACTCTTCGAATCTAAAGAACGACTTCTTGGTTTTGCTCCAAAGTAATCATCCTTCTTTCCGCTCTTTATCCATCGAAAATATGAGGACATATTGTTTTTTTTTTTTTTTAAATTTTATCACACTGTCACAGTATCACAGTAAACACATAATCACATAATATTCAATTTTGACGTACATACAACGTTTTCTTTTTCACCACATTTCCTGTATAACATAGATCAAAATCATCAAGTATAATATCAAAAATAATTATCTTTATGAATGAATGTAATATTACTATTTTTTTATAATGAAGAGAAAAATATTGGGGGGGGGGGAGGAAAAATAGAATATAAAATAGAAGAATTACTATTCTTAAAAAAATGGAAAAAAATATATATATATCCTGTTACCAATCAATATTATAAACTGTAAAAAGTTATGTGAACAATGATAATGTCAATGTCAAAAGATCAAAAAAAAAAAAATTTGTTGAAATATTATTATTAATTTAATATTATTTATTATTTAATATTTTTTATTAATTTAATATTAATATTATTATTAAAACATTATATCAAATTGGATATGGAGAAACATTCTGTTCAATGAGTAATCATGCATGAAAAAAAATGCACACTTTCTTTTTCTAATGTAATTCAACACTTTCTCGTTAATAAAATCATTCTATTATACATTGCAATTGTTATATAATTCACGATACGTTATATTACGATGATATATCCACTTTTATCAAGAGAGTAATTTTTAAATAACAATTTCACGTATTCCATACGAATTAACATTATATATATATATTTTTTAATTGCTCTTTCAAAATCAAAATCTCTATATTTTTCTCATCAAATGAATAATCTAAAAAAGTTTCTCATTCAATTGAAATGATTTTATAAATTTGCTTATAAGGATAAACTAATTTTAAACTAACGCAATAAAAATTAAACAAATAAGAGCATGTGTTAAAAATGTGTGCAATAACAGTTGTACAAACAAAAGACACACGTTATTACGACGAATCAAACGAATCGCATTATTCGCATTATTATCATGGTTAAATTTATTTAATGTGTGTTTAAAGATAGATCAATTATTTATTTATTCATTATCACAGGATTCTAAAGATCAAAACAAGTAGAAAAATAATATGCAAAAATACCGATTGAAGTTCGTTTACTAAGCAATTTAGATTTTCGTTGGATGAAGCGAGAGAGAAGCTAATGCGTGACCTCGATGTGACGAGGACAGAGCTATCCCACTCTATCTCGCTCCATCCAACGCTATCTTAAATTAATTTACAAATTAATAAATAAGCCTCGATCAAGATTTCTCTGTTAACGTATAAATATATATATATATATATGTCATCTTTTTAACATTTAACCACGTTATTATTTATATATTAACATAACATAGTGATTCACGTATTATCGATTATAAATAATTAATTTTTCTCGTGTAATTTACAATTTTGTTGAAATTAAATTATCGATAACGCGTCGCCAATTAACTTCAACTTTTTTTTTTTTTTTTTTTAGTCAATACACAATTTATATTTCAAATCGAAGATAAAAATTATCGTTTCAATTGATCTATCTTTTTGAAAATAGATCGAATCGGTTTTTTCGCATTGGTAAAATATTCTCGAGCGGAATAATTTAGTCCTAATTTTAAATAATGATAAAATAAAAAATGCTATCTAATGAAAAAAACATTATTCCCGTCGCATTTATTAACATCGTACGATTGGAATACATAAATAATATGAATGATGTCAACCAAAAAAAAAAAAAAAAGTGTAACTTCTTACCTTTAGAAAACATTTTTAGAATTGTAAAATAATTAAATTTATTTCTTTATTTAATATTTTTTTTATATATGCATTTAATATTTTACCATTGATGCAACAACAATGCATCTTTAACTCGACCAAAAGGACTTTCGTTGTAACAATTTTTTTTTCTTTTTTCTTTTTTTATCTTTCGTGATAAGAGAAAGATATTGGAAAAATCGTCGTCGTTGTGACATTAGGTAGGAAAAGTCCAGTTTGTTATGTAGACATAATGTAAAAAAAAATATAACATAAAATATGGAAAAAAAAAAAAAAAAAAAAAAAAAATTGACTACGAATAGGAAACATTACCAA